AAATAATACTGATGATATATGTTTGCAATTAGTTTTTTCCCCCATCATATTATTTTCTCCTCAAACTCACTTCTTTTGTGTTTACTGAGTCCTTTTGTTTATCCGTTTATTTATTTATTTTTAGCTTTTGATGTTTTTTTGTTCTCGTTTGACCTCCAAGAACCACCATAGGTATACGCAAAAATATGAAAAACAAAGTAATTGCTGTAAAAACAAATAGAAACAGAGTTGCAATATGTTTTTGTAACAATTTGAAATAGGTGGCAAGGCAAGATGACCTGTTGTTTGGCCATAAGCTGAGAGAAACAGAAGACTAGATACCCCAATTTTCTATCAGCAAATACATCGAGGTGTTTCAGTACATAATATGTGTTTTCTCCTAGTGTTATTTTCTCTGAGCTCTTATCAGCTGGTAAACGGTAGCAGAGAGTGGGAAAGAAGTTTCAAAAAGTTGTTAGATAAAGACCGCCCTGAAACCACAAGGACCTCTGCCTTAATCCATTGTAAAATTGAGCCGTCTGGCCACACATCAAAGAACAGGACAGTAAATCGTTATCGTTTCCAGGTGGAGTGTGCATACAGAAAAAGGTTTAAAGAAAGGCTTACCTTCTGCGATCAGTAGATTAAAGAATAAAAAACAGCTGAATTATTTTGGCTGAATTTGAGAAAAGACATTTGTGTCTCTGTCTCTCTATCTGTGTGTGTATATGTATGAAGTTAGTTGACATCAGATTAAAGCGTGTTGAAAGAAACATGGATTTCTTACAGCTCTTTAATAGAAGCATGATGGAGGAAGCAAAGTAAAGGCAGGTTAATCTTTTGTTGTCCTGCAGAAATCGGGCATGTCTCTAACTGTGTGTGTGTGTGTGTGTGTGTGTGTGTGTGTGTTCTGCACCCCTTGTCTATCCCAGATAAGCTTCCTTCCTGCCAGTATATGACCTGGCCAACAGAGAGATAACAAGTTCATCCTCCATCAATTATTTTGGCTGAGAGTCAAGTTTGCTCCTTTACTAATCAACCCACTTCTTTTTATTACTTTCCATTATATACATTTCTATACTTGCTTCTTACTCTCACTTTTCTTTTTTTAATTACACATATAAGCATTTTCTGTTTGGCTGATCTGCTATCATTTTTCTTAACCTGTCACAGCTCCCTTGATCTGCTGCACTGTGTTTGTGAAGTTGTTTTTCCTTTTATTTTCTCCTGTGATCACCACCAAGGTCACGGTTGTTTGCTCAGTTTTTAAAATAAACACACACAAAAAAATGCCTGAGCACAAGCAGGCACTAAATGGCATGTAAATGTGTTTTTCTCAACACGTTACTTGTCCTTTTTCAGTGTCACATCACTCCTGTAAAATGCCTTGAAAAATAACATGCACAAAAAATGATCAATCGTACTGTAAAAGCAACAGAACTGTAGATATTCAGTCATCGTACTTGACCAGAGGAACACTGACCAATGAATCACAGAGCACAGGAAATATACAGCAGATGAACAGTGCCTGAATGGCATGTGTTTAAGAAATAGGGAAGAAAGATTCAACAGAGATCTGAGACAGGACCTAAGAGACGAATCTCGACATGATTCACGTAGTAGCCTAATCAGAAATGGAAGGGTGACTGTCAAGAAGCCATTCATAAGCAAGGGTGAGGAATGCTGACACAAAATTACTGACAAAAAAAGTCCCAGTTCAAATTGTCAATTTGTTTTAGAGGAAGTTAGGAGAGAGATACGACTCTGAGTGTCTACAGCCAAGATCAAAACACACGGAGGCTCAATTATAGTTTGGAGCTACATTTCAGTCAGTGGTTTTGGGGATCTTGTAAAAATTGATGGAGTTATAAATGCAGAAAAGTGC